CCCCCCAACCCCCCGGGTGCCCCTGACCTCCCCTCCCTGGAACTCCACTGTGGAGACCCTCTGGGGTTGGGGGAGCCCTCACGGCCCACTGTTCTCTCAGACGCTGTCCGGGTCTCTCCAGCTGACCAGGCCTGAGTGGAAGTGAGGGTGAGGTGGGCCGGGTGGGGCCTGCCCCCCATGGGTGTCTCACCATTTGTTCTCTGTGTTCCAGGGAAGACCCGGGGACCTCGGACCCATCGGGTACCAGGGGATGAAGGTGGGTGTCCCTGCTCTCGTCCAGAGGTGGAGGGGTTGCGGCCACCTGTGCACTTGGCGGCCTGTGCACGTGGCCATGTGTGTGTCTGGCCTAACCTGCCTCCTCCTCCTTCTTCCTCTGTTTGGTGTATAGGGAGAAAAAGGGGGCCGTGGGGAGAAGGTGAGTGTGCCCCGCTCCACAACGGGTCCCTCTGGGCGCAGGGCATCCCCGTGCCCGGACCACGCCATTGCTGGGGAGGGGCTGGGCAGACCCTCCCCGCACCCTTGCCGACCTCCAGGAAGATGCGGCTGGTCCCAGGACTGGTCGGTGGAGCTTTGCTGCCATCTCAGAATGCGCCCAGCTGGGCTTGCAAGGGCTGGGGTCGTGGCGCCTGTCCCTCCCTCCCCACAGTGGGGTGGGGTCCCACCAACGGTTACCAGAGGCACTCAGGACTCAGCAGCAGAGGGCGCCCTCTCGGTCTGGGGGCAACCTTGCGCTCACGGGGCAGCCCCTGCCGTTGCGTGCACCAGCCTCACCCCCAATCTGCTGGTCAGAACTGATGGGGGGCCACTCTTGGGCCCAGGTGGGGGACAGACTCCCCTCACCCTCCATTTCTGTCTTCACAGGGCTCCAGGGGACCCAAGGGCTACAAGGTGAGTGTGGGCGGCAGGGACGGGAGTGTTCTGCCCAGTGGCCCTGCTGGCCGACTCTCCCTGACCCTTCTTTTCGTCCCTGTCTCGCAGGGCGAGAAGGGCAGGCGCGGCATCGACGGGGTGGACGGCATGAAGGTAACCCCACTGGGTGGACATGTGGTCCAGAATGGGTGGACGGCGAAGCTATGGCTGCTCTGGGGGTGGGCAGTGGGGGTCTTATGGTGGGCGCTCCCAGGTGACTCGGGGGTGTTGAGTCAGGAGAAGTTTCCTGCAGCTATTTCCTACAAAGCCCCAGGTCCCAGTGGACCCCGAGCCACCCAGTTCAGCTCAGAGTGTCTTCCAGGGTGTGGCTTCCCTGGAAGGGGGATGGATGAGCCAGAACTACAGGGTTTGGCAGCTGAGCAGCCTCAGTTTACCCACTCGGCCATTGACAATGTCATTTTCTTCCTCCTTCCAGGGGGAGACGGGGTACCCAGGCCTGCCAGGCTGCAAGGGCTCACCTGGATTCGATGTAAGTCACTTCCTTTCACCGTTAAGTTCTCAGGAGTGAAACTGGGCCCAACGGGCTGTTCCAAGTGCAGACTTATGTTTGATTCCGTCTCTGCATGGCCCACAGCTCTGTGTTTAAGGCCTGTGGGTGATGACCATTGCTAGTTGTGACAGTGTCTTCTCACCAGGGTATCCAAGGATCCCCGGGCCCCAAGGGAGATGCTGGTGCCTTTGGACTCAAAGGAGAAAAGGTCAGTGGCTCGCGGCCCCTGGGGCTCAGGGCTGGTGGCTTTGTCATCCACTAATCACTAAATCCCGACCCGCACTCTGAGGGACGGGGCCGGGTCTGAGCCCAGGAGCCGCCATGGTGATGAGACAGGCAGAGGCCACAGGTAGACCACACAGCTGCCAGGCTGGCACATGACCAGGGCAGCCCTCCCTATGCCCCACGCCCGCACATGTTTTCTGTCTCTACCGCGTCTGCCCCCGGCAGCTCACAGCCCAGCGCTTTCGCCCAGAGCCTCTCTGTTCACGTGGAATTCAGGATTTCAGAATAAACACAGTGGCGCTGACGGCTGCAAGTAGGCAGGAAGGTTAAGCAGGAGAAATACTCTTTCAAGAGTCTGATTTAGAGCCGAGTTTTCTGTTGCTGGTATTTTCTCCGGGTTTCTTCTGGAAAGCAGAAGTGTCAGGGAGTGTCAGGAGGCTGCTGCCTGCCCCGGGTGTTCCAAAGAAGATTTCCCGGAACCGAGCAGGTGGCTCCGGAATCTCACCCCTGAGTGTGCAGACCCCTAAGCCCCTACGTTCGGGCTTGCCAGTCCGCCAGCCTGGCAAAGCTGCGCCTTTGCTGACAGAGACCACTTTGCCCCTCTTAGTTCGGGGGCTGTCTGGCTGGACCTGGAGGGTAGCGAGGTTAACGTGTGCAAGGCGGTGTTCGTGCCGCCGGGGTTGGCTTGAGGAGGTCCTGGGAGGTCAGAGAGCATGGCCTGAAGTTAGGTTGAGGAGGGCTGGCATGGGGTCACCTGGCAGGAGCGTCTGTGACCATCTTATTTTCCCCAGGGTGAACCTGGAGCTAACGGGGAGGCCGGGAGGCCAGGGAGCACGGGGCCGCCTGGCGATGAGGTGAGAGAGCCCCCCATGGAAGCTGGGGTGTGGGGCCCAGGCCCTGCATGGGGTCACCGACATGGGCAAACAATTCCACCCCTCTTCTCTGCCAGGGCGAGCCAGGAGAGCCTGGTCCTCCAGGAGAGAAAGGAGAGGCTGGGGACGAGGTGAGTGCTGGCTGTGGCCCATGGGCCTCTGCTCCCAGTTCCTGAGGCCAGTCCCAGTCGCAGGGTTCACGCATAAACTGACACTGTGTTTGTTCCTCCTAATCCCAGGGGGATGCGGGACCAGACGGCGCCCCTGGAGAGAGGGTGAGTTGGTGGCGGGGTGGAGCTCACCATGTGGCCACAGATGTGGCCCATGCGGCCCAGCCTGGTCCTCCCAGCACTGGCCGGCCCCCAGCGCTCCCACCTAAGCGGAGTGGTGTCTTCACCTGCGTGTCCAAACCGCCTGCTCCCACGTTTCGTCCTGTGTACCATGCACTGGTTGCTGGGTTCTTCCCAGGGTCTCTGACTCGGGTCTCTGGGAGTCCTGCTGGGGGAGGCTCGGCGCACAGCAGCTCACACTTCCCCTCCTCTCTACTCAGGGTGGCCCTGGAGAGAGAGGACCCCGGGGGACCCCCGGTGTGCGGGGGCCAAGAGGAGACCCGGTGAGTCGTGGTTTGGCCCATCCCTGGGGAGGGCGGCAGACACTGAGGGGTGATGCAGCTGTCAGACCACAGGACTCACGCCACCCAGTCCCTTTGGCTCCTAGATTGCAGCCGACCCATTCCCTCACCTTCTGTTTTCCCAAACCAAGACGCTTCCCTACGGCCCAGGCCGCCCACCACTCCTCCCTACAGGGGCTGGGGAGCCTCCAAGGGAGCCGGAGACGGGCAGAGGCGACCAGCCCCGCGTGGGGAAAGCAGCCACCTGCAGACGTGACTGCTAGCCTCACAGCGTGGGTTCCCTCTGGGCCCGCCCTGGTGACCCGGGCCTGGGTGAACGTGCTTTCTGTAGGAGGGCGAGCACCACCTTGACAGCAGCCACGCCTTCCCATGCAGTCGTTTATCCGATCCACCGAACCAGTCCCCTCACGTCACATGTTTGGACCTTTCCGAGTATCTGCAAGTCTCCCGAGTCCCTCCATAACATTTTTGCAGACAGAGCTTGGGTTCTTCTTTGGAAAGATTTTCCAAAGAATAAGGATGTCGGGTCAGAAGGCCGACTGAGAGGACAGACGGCAGGGTGGCTGGGGGCAGTCCTCGCTGCAGACCCGTGGCTGCTGCTCCTGCTGCTCTGTTTCTCTCAAGGGCAGTCGCTGAGCCGGTGTCTGCGGCCCAGCCTCACCCTCCGCAGCGGAGTCGGACTCTCTCCAGCCCCAGGACTCGCTGGGGAAGTTTCTCTGGATCCAGGGGTGGGCAGGCAGACAGAGTCCGTGTCTGGTCACCCCACCCCACTCTGGGGCTGCCCCGGCCCAGCACAGGCTGTGGAGGGAGTGAGAAAAAGCCTCAGAGGTGGTGCCTCCCATCTACTTGCTGCAGACAGGGGCACCCCCATCTCGTCCCCGAGAGCAGGACACCCAGGTCCCCCTCACTATGACCTCGGTGTGGAGAGTGGCTGGCTTTCTCATGGTGGCCTTCGGAAAAAATAGCCTGGTACCCGATGGCTGTGACCTGGCCACCTCCACACTCATGGGCTTGCTTTTCCCCAGGGCGAAGCTGGACCCCAAGGTGACCAGGGAAGAGAAGGCCCCGTCGGTGTCCCCGGAGACCCGGTAGGAAGCCGGGCTGTCTTGGGGGTGGGGGGTCATGTCCACAGCTCAGCGTATCGGCCAATTTGGATCTCAGAGGCAGAAACGCTCCCAGCAGCTCACCCATTGGGGGGGTCTCCATTTCCAGCCTTGTGCACCTCGCAGGGGTGCATGTACCCACAGGCCGAGGGATGTCCCTGGTGGATGCCCTGCAGGCAGCCAGGTGGCAGCCTGGGCCAGGTGCGGATTGGTAAGGGTGTGGCCCAGCTCTGGTGGCCCTTGATGCTCAGCCACATGGGACACAGAAATGAGTGAGCAGACCCCCTGCTGTCCCCAGATATCTGACCCTCATCTGAGTGGGTGGGGGTGCCCTGGCCTGGAGAAGGGCAGTGGACGGCAGAAGGAGCAGATGGGGGCTGGGGACACGGAGTACAAGGGGTGCCCAGAGGAGGACTATGTGGGCCCCCAGGCTGCAGGGGGGACCCCACATTGGAGAGGAGCATTGGAGCCCCTGGGAGACACTGGGTGGGGAGGCTTGGTTGGCACTTGTGGGTCTGGCTTCAGAACCCACTGTCCATCTGTGGCTGGAGGCAGCTTTGGGAGTGTGAGTGTATGGAAGTTTCTACAATTTTAAGGTGCAGGTGAGACCATGCTGGGGGAGGGGAGGAGAGTAGGCCTGATAGAAGGGGGGGCTGTGGCCTGGGCCAGTGGGCTGGGTAGGAGGAGTTGGGGTCACATCCCTGACTCCAGGGGAGGGGGCGCAGGAGGCCAGACCCGCAGGGGGAGGGACCAGCCCCTGCCTGAGGGGGAGCTGCCCCCACCTGTATCCTCAGTGCATCTTCACCCTGTGGCCCTGGCCTGGCCCCAGCATGGAGGTCTGTGGGTGGGAGGATGGGTGGGTGGGGGAGCCCTCACCTCCTCTGCCACTAGGAGCACCCAACTGCTCCTAACCAATCAACAGCTTTTCTTAAGGTGCCAACTAGCATCCAGCTTTAAAGAGTCTAGGGAAAACTCACTTTAAACTAAACCACCAATAATGAAGATCTAAAGGAAGAATGCTACAGTCTGGGGGACTGTCAGGATTTCATTCACCTAGTAGACAAGTCTAGGTGGCTGGGTAAAGGGACCTCCACCTGGGCTCTGTCCTCCAGGCCCATCGGCTGGAGTTGAGCCAGGCAGGATGTGTTCAGGGAGGAGTCAAACTTCAGAGTCTCTTGGGGGAAGGTAGGCATTTCTGGCTGGTGCCTGGAAGGCTGCATGGAAGAGGCAGCAGTTGAGGAGGATGTGGAGGAGTTAGCCTGGCAGAGCTGTGGGGGAAGACATTCCAGGCAGAGGGAACAGCTTAAGCAAAGGTCTGGAGGTGGGTACATGCAGGGCATATTCAGGGGCCAGGAGCTTGGGGGTGCCAGGGCAGCAGTGGGACACAGTCTGCCCATTCCCTCAGGCCTCCAGAGCGCAGCCAGCAGCTCAGATGGGCTCTCATGCCTGCTAAATATAACTTCACCACTCACAGACCCGTGCGCAGGGCCCGGGTATGAGCCTGGCGGGGGCGACTTCCTGAAGGTGTGCGGTGTGCTGCTGGCTTGTCCTGCCCAGCACTCCGTGGCCAGGCCAGGCTGCTGTGAAAAGGGCTCACCTCCGAGGGCCTGGGAGCTGTGGGCACCAGGGCAGGTGGGTTCCGGGTGGCCAGGGACCCTGGGCAGGCGAGGCCAGGGCTCTGTAGGCTTGGCATGTGGCTTCCAGCTTTTTGGTGGCTTTTATTTTGGGGAGAAATTTGGAATTGGAGTAAAATAATTTTAAAAAGAGAGAGGGTAGCATCTGTAACAGGGCAGGGATGTTTTGCAAACTCTGCTGGTGCCGGAGAAATACTCCCCGCATCCCTTCCAGGGTGAGGGTGGAGAGGGACGATCTGTTTCTGGGGTAAACATGGACCTGTTTCGAGACTGCAGGGCCTTGCTCAAGGGGAAACTTTTCTCACACATGATTTCAAGTTAAACTCCAGTGCAGCCATTTCCAGGGGCCGGTGGCCACGCTGAGTGAAGGTGGCATCAGGGCTGTCCAGCAGGGACAGGCTTGTGACTGTCCGGTGCTCCTGCTTCCTGGCAGTGATGGGAAGATAACGTCTCTCTAGTAAAACCAGGCTTAGGTGCGTTTGGGGCTCGCAGACAAAAGACTCATGAACCGAGAGCCATGCCCTGTTTTTGCATGTTTCAAATAAGAGAAATACATATGGTTAAAATCAGTCAGTAGCTCTAACAGGAGAAAGCCCCCCCCCCCCGACTCCCCAGGTATCAATTTTTAGTTTCTTCTAGAATCCTTTTAGAAAGGTGCGTGAGAGCGTCAGCGTACGCCTGTGGTTCGCACAGGCTGTGCTGCACCCGGATGCTCTGCTCAGCCGAACTACCGTGGGGATGGTCCGTGGTGGTGCTCGCGGACCCAGGCCACTCTTCAATGTCCTGGCGTGCCCCATGCGACCTTGCTCAGCATGCACGTCCAGTCCCTGTTAACACGCATGCAACTGTCTCCAGCATTTTGTTTTACAGAAAGATACTGTAATAAATATCAGTGTCTGTCAGCTTGTGTCTGCCCATCATCTGTCTGTCCAGCCACCCATGTGCCTACACACCTCCCACTCTTTCATCCGTCCATTGTCTGTCTGTCCACCCATCCTCCCACCTATACATCATCCATATATACATCCACCCACCACCCACCCATCCATCATCTATCTGTCTATCGTCCATCCATCCATCCATCCATCCATCCATCCATCCATCCGTCTAGAAATACTTCCAAGGTTGTACCTGGAAGATAAATTCTTAGCAGCAGAATTTCTTGGACAAATGGCACTTATATGTGCATGTGTGTATTTTGATGTTTGCCAAATAATTCTACAAAAAATTAGTCCTAATTTTCATTCCCCCCAAGAGTATAAAATAGAGACAGTACCCACACCTTCACCAAAATGAGATAGTATCGAACTTCAAGTATGTTTTGCTCCTCGGGCGAGAACAGTGCCTGTCTCCGTCCACGTGGCCGGTGTGCAGAGCCACGGGTAAAGTGTGCGACACTGCACAGGGCATGGGGTGCTCGGTGCAGGAGCTGGACAGCCAGAGGGAGATGCTGGGTAGTCAGGGTGGGGACAGCAGGAGTCCTTCTGCCAGCCCGGCAGAGGTTAACGGAGCAAGCTGATTAATGGGCGGTTGTAAATGTCTGTGAGAAGGTCCAGCCAGGAAAGGTCTTGCCAGGATGTGCCCAGTGGACAAGGCTCTGATGCAGGGTCATGGCTGGTGGGGACGAGGGGCCCGTGGCCAGGCTGGCCCTGTGACTGAGGCGGGCTTACTTTCCTTCCTTGGGCTCGGCTGGGGATGTTGAAGTGCTCAGGGGACAGAGACCCTGGACCCAGAAAGGCAGACAGTTCACCTGGGGGGCGGTCCACGGAGCCAGCCAGCAAGGGTGGGATCTGGGGCCAGGAGGGCTGGCATGATGGGAGTGAAGGTTCAGGGACCAGCTCTGGAAACCTTGGCCCCACACAGGGGTCCAGGAGTCTCAGGAAGCAGGGTAGAGGCCCAAGGCGGCCCAGCAAGCAGCTGTGGGTGTGTGGTGGGAGCAGGCCCCAGTTGCAGGCCAGGCTCAGCCCACAGGAGATTCTGGAGTGGCTGCACTGGGGTCCCAGGGGCCACCAAGCCAGGCACAGCCCAGAGAGTGGGGCAGGAGCCCAACAAGGGAGCCAGGCAGACGGGTCCTGCCTCTCAGTAGCAGGGCCCCAGCCGAGTCTAGGGTCAGGTGACAGACATGGCTGTGAGTGAGGAGAGGGCTGAAGACTCTGCCGAGTGGGGCCCCCGCTTGTGTGGGTCAGGGCAGCTCATGGTGGCTTCAGTGGGAGACCCCACTGCAAGGTCATTGTGACCACTGGCTGGACCCAGGGGCTCCACATGGCCCAGGCCTCCCTGGGGCCAGTGGGACAGGAGAGAGTCACTTACTGACCCTGGCCTGGGGCCTCTCTGGTGGGAAAAGGAGGGGCAGGTGGTCTGCAACATGGAGACCTGGAGAGACCCCAGCCAGGGAGCCGGCCTGAGCACACCTGGCATCAGCCCCATGGCCCCAGGCACAGAGAGGCCCAGCCAGGTGCACCCTGAAGTCACCTGGAGAGGTCCCAACAGCTGTGCCCAGGATGAGACCCCAGGGTGGGGCCTGGGTCTACGCTGTGTTGATGGAACCAGGGCCAGAGTCTGGGGGCCTGATGCCTGTGGGGGAGGACGGAGCTCTGGCCAGGGGCAGGGGCCTGGGAGAGTGAGCCTGGGCTCAATGGTGCGCATCCCTCTCTTTGCAGGGAGAGGCTGGCCCCATTGGACCAAAAGGATACCGAGGTGACGAAGGTCCCCCGGGGCTTGAGGTGAGCACCTCCCCCACCCACTCCCCTGCCTGGTTCCCCAGGGGCATTGTGCCAAGCTCACTGCTTGGTCACTCCTCCCTCTCCGTAGGGTCTCAGAGGAGCCCCAGGACCTGCCGGACCCCCTGGAGACCCGGGACTGATGGGTGAAAGGGTAAGCATCCAAGGACCTGGCCTGGGAGGTGACACCGGGAAGCCACGGCCCCAAGCCCCAAGCCCCAAGCTATCTTTGTGGGAGGAGTTTGTCTGTGGGGGTCTGGACAGGGATAGTACTATTCAGTGTCACCGGGGATCCTCCTACTCTGAGTCCAGGTCCAGGAGAGGGACCACAGGACCAGCGGGGTGATCCTGGGTGGGGACAGAGGCACCCTCGGGTGCAGCTCCCCATGCCTGAGCTGTCTGTGGGCCTCCCTGGGCCTGGGCGACTCCGCAGTGACAGCCACTCTGCTCGGCTCCCCCAGGGTGAAGACGGCCCCCCTGGAAATGGCACCGAGGGCTTCCCCGGCTTCCCTGTAAGTGCCCCAGAGGCCCTCCCCCAGTGCCCGCCCCAAGCTGTCTGTGGTACCACCTTTGGCCAGCTTGGCACTCCAGGGTGGGCAGGGTTGGACCCAGGCTGGGAATTTGATGAATGGATTCTGCCGGCCTGGGCCCGTCCACCTGCACCTCTCTGACGGGCCCCTCTGGGGTCAGAAGCTGGTGTGACTGTCCTGCCTTCCACACACAGGGGTATCCAGGCAACAGGGGCCCTGCCGGAATAAATGTGAGTATGCGCCCCGCCACTCTCTGTCCAGCTACAGGTGTGCACACACGTTCACTCACGCACATGCACACAAGCACACTCACACACTTGTGAACACACACACACCTGTGCACACTCACATGCTCACACACATGTGCAAACAATGCACACTGCATTCACATGCACACACACACGAGCACACGCACACGTGCATGCACATGCACACACACCCATGCATCCTCGGGCCACACCTCTGTCTGTGGCTCATCCCTGGCACTGGCAGCTCTAGTGGAAGCTCGTGGGTGCTGCCCAGCCTGGGTGTGCATGGTGACTGAGGGCCCCTCTGGCACACAAGCGCAGGCCCAGCCTCAGAGACCACACCCAAGTCTCCCCCAAGCCTCTGGGTGCCGTCAGCCACCTACAGGCCTCAGTTTCCTCCCCCAGGAAGCGCATGCAGTGGAGCGGGAGGTGCACAAGAGTGCCTCCTTTATCTCTGTTTTCTTTTTAAAACTCCTGCTTCTTGAAAATAAAACCCCTGATGCCCCACTGACCTTCATGCTCTCCTGTCACTGCAGGGCACGAAAGGCTACCCCGGCCTGAAGGGGGACGAGGGCGAAGCTGGGGACCCTGGAGAGGACGTAAGTGGGGGTGGCAAGGCCAGCCTGGGGAGCCTGTGACCCTGAGCCCAGGGTCTGCCTCACTGGAGGGACACATGCTGCAGACAGGCCAGCAGCACAGGTGCGTGTGTCGACACAATGCTGTTCCTTCCAGAACAATGATCTCTCACCCCGCGGAGCCAAAGGAGCCAAGGGGTACCGGGGCCCTGAAGGTCCCCAGGTGGGTCAGTGTGGCCACCAGGCCGACGGGGCAGGGGCAGAGCAGTGGCCGTGCCTGGGAGCCTGAAAGAGCGGGAGAAGGGACAGGAATTTGGGGAGCAAGCTGCTGGGGAAGGCTTGGGGAGGGTTGGGATGTCCACAGGTGGGGTCAGAGGGACTGATGCAATGGTGGGGGTCACTGGGGACAGGCCACAGAGTGGGAGGGACTGATCACCAGGGTGAGGGGTGGTAGGTCCTGAGGCAGGTGCCTGCATGGGGTCCTGGGCCCCTGGCCAGGAGTCCTGCCCTTTGAGGCAGTGCCAGACCCATATGGGACTTTCTCTGTCCTGGAGGTGTCCTGGAGAGTGGGCAGGCGGCAGTCCCAGCCAGAGCTCCCATGTCTTGGACAGTCACCTCAGATCAGAGGCAGCTACAGGGTGTCCCCAGCCCCAGTATGCAGAGGCCTTGGCTGCCCTGGTGTTCTGGGGACCCCTCCTCGGGCAGGAAGAGGGCAGGGCCTGCTGCCGGGGCTGGGAGTGGGTTTGCAGGGTGCCGTGGGAGCTGGGGATGGGGCTCCCTTGGCCATGTAGGTCAGGAAGCCACAGCAGGCCCCTCCCTCAGATCCCCACCCTGTGTTCCCCCGACAGGGACCCCCAGGACACACAGGGCCACCTGGGCCAGACGTAAGTGGGGTGTCTGTGAGCATCCTCTGGGGGCTGACTGCTGGTCCCGTGGGGGGGCCCTCTGTGGAAAACCAGTAAACACTGTACAGAGGGGGGCAGCCGTGGGAGCACATGGGGGCCCTGCGGGCAGGGGTCTGACAGGCGGAGCCAGGCGCTCCCTGAGAGGTGAGAAGCCCCTGTCCAAGCCCAGCCCTGCTGTGGCCCCAGGGGAGGGCGGGCAGGAGGGCCAGAGCTGCTGGATCATCAGTGCCCACGTGTCCCCCTCCTCAGGAATGCGAGATATTGGACATCATCATGAAAATGTGCTGTGAGTACTGTGGGTCTTAGCATGACCATCTCAATAAGAAAGAGCATGTCCCCGGCCCCAGGCAGGGAGGATCTCTAAGCTGCAAGAGCAGGGCTGGAGGAGCAGGCACCGGGCGCAGCCTGTGGCTCTCAAGGGCTCAGCCAGCAAACAAGGGACCGCCTGTCTTTTCTCCCACGGGGTCGGCAGCCAGGACCCCGCCTCAGCCATGCAAGCCGGCATGTGCCCCACCCAAGGGAAAGGCCCAGGGTGGGAACACGGGGCACAGGCTGACGGCTGACCAAGGGGCAGAGCAGCCCACAGGGAGGGCAGCCTGCGAGGCCGGGGAGGCTGGCGAGAGTTTGTGTCTTCCTGATTTTATGTGTGATTTATTTCCTCTTTTTCCTCATTTCCACAGCTTGCTGTGGTAAGTACCATTTTTAACTCGTTTTCTGCGTATTTTTAAGTAAAACAACTCCCGTGGGCGGGTGGGATTTCACCCCCATCTCAGCCACGCTGCAAGGCAGAGGCTGGCAGTCACCCACCTGCTTGCCCACCAGCGCCCTAACAGACCTGCCTGAGCCACGTGGGCCTGTTGCGGGGCCGCCCCCTGCTGTCCTCTGTCCTCAGTAACTAACCAGTGACAGACGGGGGGTGGGCAGAAACCAGCCCCTGGGACCTGCTCTGTCCACTCTTCCACATGGGCCCAGAAGTCTGGGGTCGAGTGGAGGTCAGGAAGCAGCCGACGCCCGGCCTGGCCCACTGAGGCCAGCCCTGACAAGTCCCCCGTGGAGGAGCTATGGGAGGGGGTCTTGAGCTGACCCAGGTGGGATTCCCCTTGCTGGGTGTGGCACAGTGGAGGAGGGTCCAGGGCAGGAGGGTGGTGCTGTGCTGTGGGTAGGGTCCCAGGAGGCCCGAGGCTAACCCTCCCCACCTGTAGAGTGCAAGTGCGGCCCGATCGACATCCTCTTCGTGCTGGATAGCTCTGAGAGCATCGGCCTGCAGAACTTCGAGATCGCCAAGGACTTCATCATCAAGGTCATTGACCGGCTGAGCAAAGACGAGCTGGTCAAGGTGAGGCAGCCCCTGCCTGCCCTGCCCTGTGCACTGTGGGCTGTGCGCCCTGGTCAGACCTCAGCCTTCTCTGCAGCCGCTCCACACAGCCCCAGCTGGGCCTTCATGGGTCCCTGCTCCTGGCAGGACCCTGGGCATGCCCTGGCTGGTCCAGGACCCCCAGCTCCACCCCAAGGCTCACCCTTCACAGGTGCCACAGACACAGAGCAGCTCCCCGTCATACTGAGGGCGTGGGCTGGAGCCCAGCAGGCCTGAGTCCTGCAGGTGGTTCTGAGTGTCTGCCCTTATGGACAGAACTGGGGAGAGCTATGTGTCAGGAGTTGCTTATCATAGACCCAGGGTCCGGGGGCTGTGAGGAGCCCGGGCAATGCAGCCATCGACCCCTTGAGGAGCCATGTCTGCCGGGCCTCCAGGACACCATGCCGGCCTGACCATGCATCTGCCCGCCCTGCAGTTCGAGCCCGGGCAGTCCCACGCGGGTGTGGTCCAGTACAGTCACAACCAGATGCAGGAGCACGTGGACCTGAGGAACCCCAACATCAGGAACGCCCAGGAGCTCAAGGAGTGAGTGCACCGCACATGCCCACCCATACCCTGGACCCTGGGTAGGCTGTGCCTTGACCTCTGACCCCAGATGGGCTCGGCCCTGGCCCCGTCCCTGACCATCCTCTCACGCAGAGCCATCAAGAAGCTGCAGTGGATGGCAGGGGGCACGTTCACGGGCGAGGCCCTGCAGTACACACGGGACCGGCTGCTGCCACCCACCCAGAATGACCGCATCGCCCTGGTCATCACTGATGGGCGCTCAGACACCCAGAGGGACACCACCCCCCTCAGCGTGCTCTGTGGCCCCGACATCCAGGTGGGATGGCCACACACACACACCTGCCCCCGGGCCACCCTGGAAATGTGGGGGGGCTTTCCCCCCTGAGAGGGGAGGAGGGCCCTGAGGCCGATGCTGACCCTGTCCCCTCAGGTGGTCTCCGTGGGCATCAAGGACGTGTTTGGCTTTGTCGCTGGCTCCGACCAGCTCAACGTCATTTCTTGCCAAGGCCTGTCACCTCAAGGCCGGCCAGGCATCTCACTGGTCAAGGAGAACTATGCGGAGCTGCTGGACGACAACTTCCTGAAGAATATCACGGCTCAGATCTGCATAGGTGGGCATGCGGTCGGCTGGCCCAGCTTCACTTATCTGTGCCAGGATCTGGCCTCACAGCCACGCTCAGCCCGCTGTGTCCTCGGTGCCCTGGAACTGGCCTCCCCTTCCCAGAAGCTGCCTCACGCTCTCAGCTAGAGGGATGTTGTAGCCTCAGCCTGGCCCCCCACCGCCCTGCCACCCCCAAGCAGCCCAGCCTCCACACAGGCCTGTCCTGGCACTGATCCTCTCCGGGCGTATGGCCCGCAGTGTCCTCGCCCTGTGACCTGCAGCCTGTGCTCACCTGAGCTCACCTGCTTGGAGCCAGGGCGGTGCACCTGCATGCCTGCATGGTCAGTTCCTCAGAATCCAGGACTCACTGAGGACACCCACCTCAGACACCCCCTGCATACCCCAACTTGACTGCACCCAGCAGTCAGACCCGACTACCCCATGCAGGCAGCCGGTCGACAGCCAGAGAGAGCTGCTCAGGGCAGACTCGGGCCCTCCCTGCCTATGGGCACGTGGTCAGCAGCATGGCATGGGGTGTCTGACTGGCAGGCCATCCTTGCTTCCCTCTGAGCCTCAGTTTCCCCACTCTCAGAAGTGGACCAAGGCTCTGCCCTGCCTCACTGGGTTGGTGGGAGGACCAGGACATAGTATCTGGAAATATCACCTAGAAAGGTCCACTTTCAGTACAGGGACACACCCATCCTGGTGAAACAGAGTGGGCCAAGTAGGGGGCTAGTGAGGCCAGAGGCAGATCTCCCAGGAAAGCCTCCTGCCAGGTATTGAGGGTCACCTGTGCCTGTGGTCATCGAGGTGCCCTAGCGTCCTCTTGTTGTGGGGCTACAGGTGGGACAGCGGTCTGTCCATGCAACCACTGGGTTCATGCTGCGTGGGGTTTTCTCTTTCACAGATAAGAAGTGTCCAGATTACACCTGCCCAAGTGAGTACCTGGGTAGCTGGGTCCCCTGAAGGGGGTGCTTATGGCGGGGGGGGCACCTGGTGAGGAGGGGGTCCTGGAGGAGGGTCTGGGGATCACCAGAGGGTGCATTGGGTTGCTCAGGGGCTAGCCGGGCCCCACTGGCACCGTCCCAGGCCTGGGGCTGCACCGGCTCTCTCTGGCCAGCCCATGGCAGCCGCATCTTGGGGGCCACTTGCTAATGCCTGCCCCCCTGGCTGCAGTCACCTTCTCCTTCCCGGCTGACATCACCATCCTGCTGGACGGCTCGGCCAGCGTAGGCAGTCACAACTTCGACACCACCAAGCGCTTCGCCAAGCGCCTGGCCGAGCGCTTCCTGGCGGCAGGCGCGTCCGCCGGGTCTCCCGAGGTGCGAGTGGCAGTGGTGCAGTACAGCGGCCCGGGCCAGCAGAGGCCGGCGCGCGCAGGTCTGCAGTTCCTGCAGAACTACACGGTGCTGGCTGGCGCCGTGGATGCCATGAGCTTCTTCAACGACGCCACCGATGTCACGGATGCCCTGGGCTTCGTGACCCGTTTCTACCGTGAGGCCTCGCCGGGTGCTGCCAGGAAGAGGGTCTTGCTCTTCTCGGATGGCAACTCTCAGGGCGCCACAGCGGCCGCGCTCGAGAAGGCGGTGCAGGAGGCACAGCAGGCGGGTATTGAGATCTTCGTGGTGGTGGTGGGCAGCCAGGTGAACGAGCCGCACATCCGCGTGCTGGTCACCGGCAAGACGGCCGAGTACGACGCTGCCTACGGCGAGCGCCACCTGTTCCGCGTGCCCAGTTATGAGGCCCTGCTGCGGGGCGTCTTCTACCAGACCGTGTCCAGGAAGGTGGCACTGAGCTAGCCTGGCCACCCACCCTTGCCCCATCATGGAGAGAGGAAGTAAAATGTGACATGAATTTTCTGGATCAATCCCCTCTGCTAGTTGTTTTTTAAAGGAAAGCTTGAAAAGCCGCCATGCCACGCCGTGCGCCCTGCAGAAGGTCCTCTGAGGCTTGCCCCACACCGGGCATCCGCGGCTTCCAGGCTGTCTGCCTTCCTCCCCCGCAGGCCTGAACCCCGTGCTCCTTGTGGGCGGCCGGCCAGGCTGAGCCAGGGAGGCCCGAGCTCCGTCTCCTTTTCCTTCCTGGGCCTCAGAGGCACCTGGCCACCACCCCCACAGTCCCTATAGCATGCTTTCTCTCACTAATCCTCCAGAATTCTTCATCTAACATTTCAGTTTCTTGTGAGATGTTGGGCTATGTTTGATTTTTGGAAAACCAAGGTCGAGAATATTTTTCAATGTGAATCTGGATGAGTTGACCCCTCCTTACAAGGTTCTCCTTAGGAACCGACCCCAGACCTTGGCTCCCGTGGCCCTTGGGGCGTCCAGCTCAGGGTGAGCAGAAACTCGGCCGTGCTCACATGCATTCTCTAACCAACATCTCCAGAGAACAGTACAATGGAGACTGACCTCGTGCCCTTCACACTCCAAGAAAAAAGGTGCTACCCCTGTCGAGACCTGGACTGCACTGGACACTGAGTCATCTGGTGGCCCAAAGTGATGTTTTATCGAAAACAATCCAAAGCTCTTTTTCCTCAAAATAGTGGTTTGTTCTACTTACTATTGAAGATCCTCTTCACATGTTAGTTTCGTTTGTACTCTTCCCTGGGTTTTTTCTCAACCATGTCCCCATCAAGACGTTTTCAAATAAAGGTTTTCACTCTTCTCTGGGATGGTCTTTTGTTAAGATCCCTGCCGTGTTTGCACGTCGCACAACGGGAGGAGGATGCAGAGACTGTTGGGAAGAGGAGCTGCCCTTGCCGGTGTTGGCCACGGACACTGCTCACCTGGCACGTGGAGACCACACCACACCCATGGATGGGAATGGAGCTGGGGGCCCTGACACCCTGGGCTGTGGTATCAGGAGCAAGTTAGTTCTTGGTCTGGGGCTGGCCTGATCCAGCAAGATTACACCCAAAAAGACCTGTGTCAGGCCCTGCATCTTAATACCAAAGAATGCCCCTGGAACAATGCCCCCTGGGGTTCCACAACGGGAGACAGGATCCTGCAGGGCCCCACGGGAAGATGCCCTGAGAAGCTCCACGGTTGATTTGGAGCAAGGCAGCTGTGAGACGCAGCAGGCTGTCAAGGCCGAGCGCCCATCCCCCTGTGGGAAGCCGGCCTCTGGCCTCGGGGAGGGTTTGCATGGGAGGGTGGAGGCTCATGGGACTTCCCCATGAGCCTTTCCAGAGGAAGAAATTCACAGCCATTAGAATCCCAGAATCCCGAGGGCTCAGGTCTCCCCCTCACAGGGCTGTTATGGGAGAGGAGAAAACACAGGGTTGGGTAGAGGAGGGCAGGACAGGAGAGATGGGAAGTGGTCCCACATGTCCCTACTGGAGGAAACCCAGCAAGCCTGTCTCGGGGCGTCACGTGTAGGCGATGCGGGGGGGGGGGGTGTGGAGGTGAGCAGGGACCCCTGTCATGGGAATGCCTCGCATGTATATGGCTGTGGAATCCCACCCCAGAAAGTACCCAGGGGTCCTCCCTGTTTTGGGTGGAAGACAAGCATCCCGTGTAGAACTGGAAGGAGAGAGAGGCCAGATGGTGGAGACGCATGCGTGAGGCTGGCCTGGCCGAGCACCTCCCTGCTGCCCGGAGGACGGACATTTTGGACCCTGCACGGAGGCAGTAAGAACCAGATGGCTGCGGCGGGAGGAAGTTTCCACTCACCTGCCATTGTCCCTGGGCCGCTCGCTGCAGTCCTACCCTAACCATGGGCACATCTGCTCTGAGATCCCCCACCCTGAGGGGCAGCCCCAGCCCTTGGCCCCCACAAAGCCGTCCATCCCCGGGCTGCTCCTCCAGATCCCAGCTCCTCCCCCACTGCGTGCAGCTGGGTGACCTCGAGCCAGGCTCACCCTTTGTCTCAGTGTCCTCAACTATAACCTGGGTCAGTAACACCAGCGCACCTACCTGAGAGGGCCGTGGGGATGTCTGAGCCCCTCACCAGGGCAGCCCCAGGCCAGACAGGAGCACGAGGAGGCAGAGGCTGCCGGGAAAGGGCAGTTCCGGGGGAGAGAGCCCGGGGCTGGGAGCTGAGGAGTGCCTGGTGTGGGGATGCTGGCCTCTTCCTGGGTGCTCCCTGTGGAACCCCTTCCCCACAGGCCACCCCACACAGGCACCTCCTGGTCACCCCAGATCTGCCCGCCGGTTTCAGGTGGGTGGTGAGGCGGGGGCCACCTGCTCCCAGACCTGAGGCCGGGGCTTCTCCTCGATCCCACCCCGTGGTTCTACTGCCCATGGCTCTCCCCATCCCTGAACACCTGGGGGTGGTCACCAGAGATCCCAGGCAGGAGGGACAATGGGCCCCAAAGCCCTGGCTCACTCGGAGCCCTTTGGGAGCCAGGACGCTCTGGGCCCTCACGCTGGGCCTCCTGCTTCTGCAAGTGCGGCCTGCAGGCACAGGGTCGCTCACCATGGAGACACCGAGGCCTGGCGAGGGCCTCCCCAGAGCTGTGGCACATCTGTGGTGGCCACTGCACCCCCAGCTCACTACACCCAGGCCGGGACCCTCGGCACCCCCAGCCCAAGCCTCGGCCCCACCAGGGTCTCCCCTTCCCGTTCCCTTCCCCCATCCCCCGTGTGCACCTCCTGCCTCAGGCCTGGGGACTTCCCTGCATCGAATAATCACAGATAATCCAACAACAGTAGCACCTTTCCCTGCTTCCCAGACAGCGAGACCCCTCGCACCCCACCCCCACCCCAGCTCATCCCCAGCCAGCCCAGGGTATCCAGTCCCTGCAGCTCTTTCTGGCAGCCTGTCGCCCCCTCTCTCCCTCCCAGCAGCTCTGCAGATTCCAGGGCTGCTCCAAGCCCTCCCAGGCGCCAGCCTCGGCCCCCAGACTGCCGCGTCGTGTGTAACCAAATCTAGCTAGACCTTCCTCCTGAAGGAAAACGAGAAACCAGAAGTACACGTTTCCCCTTTAAGGAGGGGAGGGCCCAACCCCTGGACCTTCTGACTAGAAGGGGTTGGCTGAGAGACAGGCCTCGTCCCAAGCCTCCCAGCATTCAGGAGGAAAAGATCAGGATCCCTCTTTGTTCTGCAGAACTCAACTTTGAAAAATACATACTGAAAGACACCTCAGGCCCACAGGCCCGCATCTGTTCCAAGTTTGTAAAAGTGATATTGTCGATCATCATGCAAAGTCTCAAGACAGGAGCCAAAGCCAGCCGCCCCGTGACTCTGAACGAGCTGGCACCCCCATGTCTTCCCCAGCCAGGAACAGCCCCAAGCAGTGCTCTGGCGTCCTCCTGGCCCCAGGCTTTCTGGTAAACAGCCCGTGTTCCCGACACCAAGCTCTAGACTGGAGCCGGCCCCTCCTCTCAGCAGCTGGAGCTGGAATCCGCTGCTCTTGATGAGGCACAGGGTTGGTGGGGGGCACAGATGATAGGGACCTTGACCCTGTTGGGAAGGCCCCTGCCTTGTCCCAACCCAGAATCACAGAAGTCCCCTAGGAGCCCCTGGCTGCCCTTCCGTCCCCCTCCTAGCAAGGGTGGTCCTCAAAGGGAACAGTAACCCACATGGGTTCAAGGGAGTGTTGGGGCCTTGCAGATGGTGAGTTTCTCAGGCATCTCCCGGGCCCCCTGCAAGCCCCACCAGCTCCCCTCTCAGGTCAGCCCCATCTGCAGATCGTAGAGTCCACTGGGCTCATCCAGTCTGCTGACCAGCCTCCCAGTCTGCTGACCCGCCTCCCACCATCTCGCACGTAGGTTGGATCCAGAGCATAAATTATCAAACGCTTCTCTGACCACAGCTCAGCCTATACCTTAAAGTAAAATTCCCAGAGTGAAACCATCAAGTCAACACACCCTCTTTATTGTGTCAGACGCTGCTGTGGACTGGGTATTTATGTCCAAAACTCACAGGGTGAAGCTCTAACCTCCCTGTGGCTGTGTTTGGAGAAGGGAACTCTAGGAAAGTAATTAAAGTTAGATGAGGTCATAAGAGTGGGGCCCTGATCTGATGCAGTTAGTGAGGACACAGTAGGAAGTCAGCCATCTGCAAACCAGGAAGAGAGCCCTCACCAGACACCAACCCTGCCTCTGAGCAAGGGCCTAGGCAAGCCCCAGCCCAGCCATACACAACTGCCAGTCATGGTGCAGACACATCAGGTCTTCACCCCAAATGCAGATCCTGGTGCCCAGGGGAGGCAGACAGCTCATTGTAAAACCACATGGTATGTGAGGATCGAAGGAGAGAGAGGGCTGCAGTCAGCTAAATAACAGTCCAAGACATCACATCTGGGGATATGGTACCTCACGTGGCAAGGGACTTTGACATGAGATGAAGTCCAAGGTGGGAGATGGTCCTGCATTATCGGGGGCCCATGTCATCACAGGAGCTATTATAAGAGGAAGGCAGGAGGGTCTTGATTAGGAGAGAGAGGGGCCCCGAGCTGAGGAGTGCAAGTGCCTCTAGAAGCTAGGAAAGCTTCAGGGCGGTGGCCTCCCTGACACACGTTTACAGGATCTGAGAGCATTGTTGTGGGGTGCCCCTGGTCTATGTTCTGCTAAGAGAGAGGAAGCTGGAAGTGGCCAGGACAAAGGCGCCCAGCATCTGGGCAGCCGGACTCAGGCACAGTCTACCCCCTGTGGTGACTGAAGTGTGTTCCCACAAAGCAGGCACTCAGGCTGGTCACACCTAGCCAGCAGCTCCTATTCACCACCTCCGACTCCTGCGACCTATCCAAGACGAATTTCAAGTCCTGCAGGCTCGGCATCACAGCTGGCCTGGGAGAAGCTGAGACACAGCATGGCCACAATGTCCCATGAGATGTCCCACACTGGACATGGAGACATGCAGTGGCCAACGGTGCCCAGAGGCTGGGTGGATTCATGCTGGGCCCTGCCCTCCCTCTCCACGAGCACCAGCGGTGGGCCGCACAACCAAGAGCCCTGAGCTGAGCTCCATCCTCCCATGGCACTTCAGATGGAGCTACCAACAGCTTCCAGATGTGGCCACCTTTGCTGCTGTGGTCCATGCTGGGATCCCAGGAAGACAAGAATGGCCACAATGGTGACACTCCCCAGGAGGGGACAAAGGAGAGATAAAGCATGGAGAGGAGGGAATGTTCAGCACAGGGCACAGCGTAGCTCGGGATTGGCTCAATTCCAGTATCATTTGTGGTAGCTGCATGATGGCGCCCAGCCCTGTACACGTGCCAGCGCTAGCTGTGCTCGGATCTCCTAGCCCTGGCCCCTACTGCTCCCCTGCAGCCTGAATTGGTGAATTCCTGCTCACACCAAAGACGAGACACACTGAGGCCTGGAGAGGCAAACAGGAGACCAGGACAGAAGGGAGCAAAACCTCAAGAAATCCAACACCCCTGGCACCTCCCTGTTTCACACACATGCAACTGACGGGCTGCTTGCCAGCCGCCAGAGCACACACCACAGTCTCCCACCCTGACACTGCATGCAAACACCATGTTAGCTGCCCCTTCCTGCCCAGGCACCCTGCATCTCCCCCTGCACCTGGCTCCTGCCCGGCTCACCTCCTCACTAGTTCCAGACACCTCCATGCCCACCTGGTCCTCCCCCCAGCCCACAAAAGACGAGGCAAAGGAAGGCTAGCTTAGCTGGGAAAAGCAAGGCAGGGTGGCAGCCCAGGATTTCTCTCTCCCCTTCCCAAATAAAGAGGAGGGTGAGAGAGAGAGAGAGACAGA